GCTCGCGCACTTTGCGGTGTCGTACTTGATCCCAGATGTTGTCGAGTGACTCGCAGTCGCGGGGAGTGGCAGGTACTTCCGAACCCGAGCTTGACGACGCCGGCTGCGAGGGCCCACCGGAGACGGTGTAGGGCTCTGGTGCCATCGGCCGCCTCAATGGACGCTCAGTGTTACGCGATGCGGGCCGAAATTCCGTGTAGGAGAGGGTGTGCTCAGATGGAGCATGTCCGGGTGCAGGTATTTCGTCGTAGTCGTATGGTGTCGGTTCGAACAGCAATGACTCGGAGTATCCAGAAGGTGTAGCAGCAGCTTCGCGAGCACGACGACGTAGAGACATGGTGGGCGTTGGTGAAGAAGGGCGTGAGTCGGCCTGCGGAATAAATTGCCGGTCAAAGGCGCCCCAGGAGCGGTAATAATCGTGATTGTCGGAACGGTTGCGGGTGGGAAACGGCATATATATATAACAAGAGAGGACAAAGCAGAAGATGAAGAGGAACAAAGCACGCTGACAAGACGGCTGAACGCGAGGTTTGTGGGGGTATGCTGGCAAAGGGGATGATCGGCTGGGAGAGATACGGCCAATTCGCCCGTCGCCGAGTCAACTATTTCTACGCCCCTGGCCTGGCCTGCACGCTGGCGGCGTTCTCTACGAGCTGATGAGGCACATTGCGCCGTACTTTGACGTTCAGGTGGCGGTGACAGAGAAACAGCCCGAGAGCCAAAGCCTTGTTCGCTGACGACAGCTCTAGCAACTACTGGAGAGAAACTGAGCGATAATGAGCCCAAAGCATGTTCAAAGCAGTATAATTGAGACGAATTCGGTATATTGGCTCCATTCCGGTCAACGCTGCGGTCTTAAACGTGGTGTTGGCATGGCCATCGCGAGGCGTGTAAAGACACGAGGCAGCAGACAGGCTGATGCGCCGGACGCGGTCAAGGACTAGACTGGGTTCAGGCTTGCGTCGTGTCATTGACCTGCTCGCTCCCTCGCGGTTGTTACTAGGAGGAGGCTGTGGACACGGCGCACACGACTGATGTCAAGGAAGAAACGACTTGTCGAATTTCTTCGCTATAGTCGCGCCCACGTGCGCGGCGCGTCAAACCCGAATTTTGGAAGTCGAGCTTAAGTCGAAGCAACTTACTTCACGCCGCCATGGCTGACCTGTTCTCCTTTCTTGATGGCCCACCTCCAGACGATGACGAAGACAATATCTCGGAGGATGAAGAGATTATATCCCCTGGAGCAGCTGAGGCTATGGAAGTCGACGGCGGCCTCTCAGACGCGAAGAAACGGCGCGAGCCAGATTCTGCTGTGGAAAATGGCGCACCGAGCGCGAAAAGAGCCAGGAAAGAAGACTCGACACCTGTGGCGGATCCTGTCGTGGTAGACGAGTACAATGTGGAAGCGAAACGCGAAGTCGCTGCAAGCGCTGGTCTGACAGGAAGCACGGAAGCGGCAGGAGGCCAACCGCATATAGTATTGGAGCACCTGGCGCGTATTCAGAGGGTTCATGATTCCTATTTTGTCTAAACAATACTACTGTATATAGGTTAAGCATCAGGTTGCTGTACCACCTGGTTATCCTTATGTTCCCATTGCTCAGCACGTCCCGCCGGCGAAGCCTGCGCGCGAATACAAGTTTACGCTTGACCCTTTCCAGCAACTATCCGTGAATGCCATTCAGCGCAACGAGAGCGTTCTTGTCTCTGCACATACATCTGCTGGTAAAACTGTGGTCGCCGAATACGCTATTGCTCAGGCCTTGGCAAACAAACAACGGGTCATCTATACAAGTCCTATAAAGGTTTGTTGATTATGAACGTGATGAAGTTATCGAATCTGACTTATCAAACTTGCACAGGCCTTGAGCAACCAAAAATTCCGAGAGATGGAAGCCGAGTTTACGGATGTTGGACTTATGACCGGAGATGTTACAAGAAATCCTAGCGCTTCTTGTCTTGTTATGACGACCGAGGTATGTTCACCTTCACTCCATCCCTCGCCCTGCGCCATGGTCTCGAACGTCTCTCCAGGTTCTCCTGCGACGACGAGCCGTGGCTGCCGGCCGCCACACGTCTTGCCGCTGCCGCTAATGCGCGACCTCACTTAGATTCTGCGCTCGATGTTGTACCGAGGTTCTGAGATCATGCGCGAAGTTGCCTGGGTCATCTTCGACGAGATTCATTACATGCGCGACAAGGAACGCGGCGTCGTCTGGGAGGAGACAATCATCTTGCTACCGCACACTGTGCGATATGTCTTTCTGTCCGCAACCATCCCGAACGCGATGCAATTTGCCGAGTGGATCTGCAAAAGTCACGAGCAGCCGTGTCACGTCGTTTATACGAACTTCCGTCCAACGCCTCTCCAGCATTATCTCTTCCCAGCCGGCGGTGAGGGGATCTACCTTGTCGTGAATGAGAAGGGCGAGTTCCGCGAGGACAACTTCTCGAAGGCCATGGGTACCCTTCAGTCCAGCGCAGGCGAGGACCCAGCAGACGCCAAGAGCGGTAAAGGCCGGAAGGGGAAGAGCAGGAAGGGTGGCGATAAATCGAAGGGTACATGCACTCTACTTAACTGACAGATCAGTTGGCTCATGTCTGATGCACAGGGGCAACGGATATCTCGAAGATCATTCGTATGATCATGCTTAAGAACTACAACCCGGTCATTGTGTTCGCCTTCAGCAAGCGCGACTGCGAGTCGCACGCCCTCAGCTTGTCGAAGCTCGAGTTCAACTCTGCGGACGAGCAGGCAACGGTCGAGAAGATCTTCTCCAGTGCCGTCGCCAGTCTCGCACCAGATGACCGCGCATTGCCCCAGATTGCGAATATCGTCCCTCTTCTTCGGCGCGGCATCGGCATCCATCACGGCGGTCTACTCCCGATTCTCAAGGAGGTTATCGAGATTCTCTTCCAGGAGGGTCTGCTCAAGGTTCTCTTCGCGACCGAGACGTTCTCCATCGGCCTCAACATGCCCGCAAAGACCGTCGTCTTCACCGCAGCGCGCAAGTTCGACGGACGAGAGTTCCGTGATCTCAGCTCTGGCGAGTACATCCAGATGAGCGGACGCGCGGGTCGTCGTGGTCTTGATGATCGTGGTGTCGTTATCGTCATGGTCGATGAGAAGCTTGAGCCGGCGAACGCGAAGAACATGATCAAGGGATTGGCGGACCGTCTTGATTCGGCGTTCCATCTGGGCTACAACATGGTGCTCAACTTGATGAAGATCGAGACGATTAGTCCTGAGTACATGCTCGAGCGCTGCTTTTTCCAGTTCCAAAGCTCAGCTGGTATTCCTGTTCTTGAGGATGGTGCGCAGTTTATAGCCACTTTGAATGTGTAAATCCTCATATGTGCATGCAGAGCTCAAGAAGGAAGAGGAGAGCCGTGCGGCCATCGTCGTACCCGAGGAGGAGCGGGTCTCGGAGTACTATGAGTTCCGCCAGCAGCTCGACACTCTGTCCGCCGACTTCCGCGAGGTCATCTCGCATCCCAACTACTCCTTACCCTTCCTTCAGCCCGGTCGTCTTGTCAAGATCAAATACAAGGATCTCGACTTCGGTTGGGGCGTCATCATCAACTACCAGAAGCGCCTGCCTCCCAAGGTCTGTCACTCATGGCGTCGGGCGCTACCGCACGACTGACAACATCTGCACAGAACAGGCCAATGCCCAAGGCTGAAGAGCTGCCGCCACACGAGCAGTACATCGTCGACGTCCTCCTAAACTGCGCGATGGGTAGCGGCTCCGCTCCCAAGGACCGTTCAGGCGTCGTGACGCCCACACCAGGCAACATTCAACCTGCCCCTGCAGGTGAAAAGGGCGAGCCGCTCGTTGTCCCTGTACTACTCTCCACACTCGATGGTATCAGCCACTTGCGCTTGCACATGCCGAAGGACCTCCGCGGCGCACCGGCGCGCGAGGGTTTGTGGAAGAGCGTGCTTGAGGTTCACAGGCGTTGTCCACAGGGCATCCCGCTTCTTGACCCGGTCGAGAATATGGGTATCACGGACGACAAGTTCAAGACTCTCATCAAGGTAGATCGAGTAGCTCAGGCATTTCAACGATCACTGACGGATGGCGCAGAAAATCGAGGCTATGGAGCAGCGCATGTTCGCTTCGCCGCTGCACAGTGATCCGCGGTTGCCAGAGCTGTACACGCTCTACGCACGCAAGCGCGAGGCGCAGGAACGTATCCGCGGGCTCAAGCGCCGCATTGCAGCAACGCACGACGTGCTGCAGATGGAGGAGCTCAAGGCTCGAAAGCGTGTCCTCCGTCGACTGGGCTTTACGAACGCTGACGACATTGTCGACGTCAAAGGCCGTGTCGCCTGCGAGATAAGCACAGGCGACGAGCTGCTTCTCACCGAGCTCATCTTCAACGGCGCCTTCAACACGCTCGCGCCGGAGATGTGCGCCGGCTTACTCAGTTGTTTTGTGTTCACGGAGAAGAGCGAGCAGCAAGTGAAGTTGAAGGAGGATCTGGCTGCGCCGTTACGCGTCATGCAGGAGCTTGCGAGGCAGATCGCTAAGGTTAGCCAGGAGAGCAAGTTGCCGCTGAAGGAAGAGGAGTATGTGCAGAGCTTCAAGGTCGAGCTCATGGACGCCGTCGTGCAGTGGTGCCGCGGCGCGAGCTTTTCTGAGATCTGCAAGGTACGCGTCTACAGTGATTGGTGCATCTTATCATTCTTGCTGATGCTACCCCCTACAGCTCACGGATCAGTTCGAGGGCAGCCTTATTCGTGTCTTCCGTCGTCTCCAGGAGCTCATCCGTCAGATGGTGAGCGCAGCCAAGGTCATTGGTAATGCTGAGTTACAGGAGAAGTTCGAAAAGGCAAGCGAGATGCTAGAGCGACCCAACTCTGTTATCTTCGCAAGCTCTTTGTACTTGTAGACTTCGTTCATGTGTGCAGTGCGTCCTAGACGTGTTAGGTCGACGACCATTTGGGTGTAATCATGAGATGCAGCCACATATCTACTGTTGAGCAATCTCTATAATCCCTGGTAGTATATCGGCTAGTACACCCGCTTGTCAATAATACATTGCGCGGGAGAGCGGGGTTCGACTCCCCGCTAAGGAGTATGTCGCTTCACATGGGTCTTTTTTTATCTCTTTTTCTTACTTAGAACTCATAACACAAGTTAGACTATACGCGGACCATACGCTAACCGCGTCGCTGTGTACCGTTTCGCATTGATCGCTCTCATGTTTATCCCAGCGTGTTAAATCTCAGATAATATCGGTGTTTGCATCAACCGGCGGCTGGGGGTTATGGTGGGCCAGTTACTATTAAAGATGTTGCATACTATGGTCAATATACTACTGACAGGCAAGTTGTCGTCAAAGGACAATATTTCTAGTGGCATTTGGCAACGTATTGGTTGATCCTTGCAGTGTGGTGTGAAAGGCAGAGCCTGGAGGAGCAAGTGACCATCTTCACACGCGGCTATACTGTAAAACGAGGCCAGGAATACAACAGACTTCTTCGAAATGGCGTGGAATGTTGACCCGGTGACACGAGAGAACGACTAGGAGATCGAAGTGAACATGTGAGAGATGGATAGACAAAGAAGCGGCGAGGGATAGAGGGATGAGGTATAGTGTGAGAGACGAACAATAGAAGAATGGTGACAAGCATACGTGCTGTTTAGGCGTGGTACGGATGACCTGAGGGGGCCAGTCGGGATCGTCCGCTTAGAAATGTGTTTGTACACGCGGGGGCCCGCCTCAACGATGTTCATAGAATAGAGCTGCGATAGCGACGCGAGAACTGGTGAAGCTGCGATCTTAGATCTGAAGTTGATTCAGACAATGGCATGCAGAGCAATCGGGTCGCTAAACCTCCTTACTTGTCGCTCAAGTCTCCTTGAGTAAACCGGTAAGAACGTGTAGTGGGATAGTTGCAGTCCGAGACCCGCGCAGTCGAGGATGGAGATCGTGCGAGGGCAATCGGTGGGCGACCATAACGCAATCCCTGAGTAGGAACTAGAACACAGCGTCCGGGAGATCCAGGCTTGTCGCGGATACAGCCGACTGAGTAGGATGCGCAAAAGGAGCTCCCGGCGACGATCGGGTGGAAGCAAGACGAACACACCGTGCGCATGACTGTGAGTAGAAGGCGCTTGGACAGTCAGATGATGGTGAACGGGGCGCAACGGGGCGCAAGCAGCGGAAGGAACATAAGCCTATGCGCTGCGCATAGAGGGTCATTACGAACATGACTGGACGCGCGTCGATCTGCCGTATGCAGCCGTTCGAGCGAGAGGAGGTTAGGCGTCGGCCGAGTACAAGATGGGCGAGGGAGCGAGCGCGGAGCCGGCAGAAGGCAAGTCCTGGACCGGGCGGCTCAGCGGAAGCATCAGCGCTGGGTTCGAAGTTCAAACTCAGCGGCGCTAGGGATCAAATCCCGCTCAGGGGTCGTGAAGCATCAGTAAGCCTCGAGTGGGGCGATTTTGTCAACCAGATGTCCAGTTCAAGGCGTACGGAGAAGTAGCAAGAACAGTAGGGTTCCCAGTATCGCAGAAAGAGTAGCCATCCAGTTCAGCGGCATCTCGCGAACCCGAGTACAGAAGTACCGCGCTAAACCCGGGAGGACGGTTCAGAGCCACACGCTGATCTCTCGATTATCAAGTCTAAACCATCCGACGTCATGCGCACTCGCAGGCGGGCAGCGAATGGGACCCTTCACATAAGTCCGTTCCTCGGGTCTCCCGCAGATATAAGACCCCAACCCATTTCTCAAGCTCTCCAACACCTTGTCGTGTCCTCCCATCTCCAACTAGTCCAGCATGCCTTCCCAGCAGGTTTTTAGCCAGAAAGATGGCTCCACCTACACCACCTCGAACGGCGCGCCCGTTCGCGAGCCCTATGCCGCCCAACGCGTAGGCTTCAATGGGCCGTTGCTGCTCCAAGGTGTGTGCTATACTCTGTCAGTATACTGACGTACTGAAATTGATATTAGACTTCCACCACATTGATCTGCTCGCCCACTTCGATCGCGAGCGCATCCCTGAGCGTGTTGTGCGTAACCTTGGCCATACCTAGTCGCCGAGCGCATCTGACTTCGTTCGCAGGTGCACGCAAAGGGTGCTGGCGCGCACGGTTATTTCGAGGTCACCCACGACATCTCCGACTTGACCTGCGCAAAGCTCTTCTCCAAGGTCGGCACCAAGGCGCGCACGACCGTACGCTTCTCGACGGTCGGTGGCGAGTCAGGATCGGCCGACACCGCGCGCGACCCTCGCGGGTTCGCAATTAAGATCCGCACGGAGGAGGGCAACCTCGACTGGGGTAAGTCCTCTTTTGTAATTCATCGCCAGTTGCTTCTAAACTTCGTTGTCAGTCTTCAACAACACTCCCGTTTTCTTCATCCGCGACCCCGCCAAGTTCCCCCATTTCATCCACACCCAGAAGCGCGACCCCCAGACGCATCTCAAGGATGCCGACATGTTCTGGGTATGTGATCCATCTGAAGATCGTCCATGCGCGTATGGAATGACGTCTGCTGGGTCGGAGACCAAATGGTGGTTCGAGACGAGTGGCAGCATCGCGCCACAACTCGTTCCTGACCATTGCGGCATCTTCCGGCGCCGCGTCTTGCCATCATCCGCTTGTCGAGTTGCCGCTAACCAACATCATGTTCCATAGGACTACCTTTCTCAGAATCCCGAGTCGGTCCACCAGGTCATGATCTTGTTCTCCGACCGCGGAACGCCCGATGGTTACCACCAGATGCACGGCTACTCTGGCCACACCCTCAAGTTCGTGAACGAGCAGGGCGACTGGAACTACGTTCAGGTCCATGTCCGCGCTGATGGCGGCTTCAAGACGCTTGACAATGAGCAAGCGGGTGAGCTTGCCGGCTCGAACCCCGACTACGGTACAGAAAAGCTGTTCGAGGCCATTGAGAGCGGCAAGCCGCCGTCCTGGACCGTCTACGTCGTATGTCCACTCATGATTCCCGGACGCATGTGGTTGCTCACAAATCATCTAGCAAACCATGACGGCTCAGCAAGCCGAGCAGTTCCGCTACAACGTGCTCGACCTTACCAAAGTCTGGCCGCACTCAGAGTTCCCGCTGCGCCCGGTCGGCAAGCTTGTCCTTAACGAGAACGTGCAGAACTACTTCGCGGAGATCGAGCAGGTTGCCTTCTCGCCTTCGCACCTCGTTCCGGGTATCGAGCCCTCGGCCGACCCCGTGCTCCAGTCGCGCCTCTTCTCGTACCCCGACACGCACCGTCACCGTCTCGGCCCCAACTACCAGCAGCTGCCGGTGAACGCGCCCGTCGTACCAATCGCTAACTTCCAGCGTGACGGCTTCATGGCGTTCAACAACCGTAAGTTTTGATTCTACTGATATTCGCCCATACGTTGACGCTGTTTGCAGAGGGTCCGCGCCCGAACTACCAGAGCTCGATCGCACCTCTGTCTTACAAGGGCAAGGCGTACGACGACAAGGAGATCAAGCACGAGACCTTCGTCGGGCTCGCTCGCAGCGAGTTGAGCACGATCACCGAGCTCGACTTTGAGCAGCCGCGCGCGCTTTACCACAAGGCTATGGATCAGACGGCGCGCGAGCACCTCGTCCACAACCTTGCGGTGCATATGAAGGCCATCAAGGACAAGAAGGTCGCGGAGCGCCAGCTCAGCGTCTTCGCTGCCGTCGACCAGGGCTTCTCCGACGCGCTCGCCAAGCAGCTCGGCTTGAGCAGCGTTAAGCCGCTCCAGCCGGCGCCTGCGGATGCTTTCCGCCAGGTGAAGCACAACATCGGGCTCGCAGCGCAGGGCCAGTCTTAAGTGCCTGGTTGGTAACTTCATGTTGATGAACGAGTCTTTTTGAGCCGTGTAGGATACATGTAAAGATGTGCTTGCTTGATCATTGTACGAATATCCAATCCAACCCCTTGTGTCATGCTACTGTTGATGCGCACGCGCTATTGCTCTTATCACTAACAGTGGGATTGAGCCGAGCCCTCCATCGAGCCACTTCCTAGTCCAAGGTTCCTGACTGACAACCGGATTCGAGAATCGTCGCATTCTTGGGAACGTCCACCCGCTGCCTCTGATGCGTGGCCTACGAATTGTTGCGTTGTCGTCATGGATCAAACACACGTGATCGTGTTAGCACAGGTAACGCGCTCGCAGTCAGCCGCACGGTTTGTCTTGCACCGTCATTCTCTTGAGCTCGTACGACTGTATGGACCGGCACTACTCTAGCTCGGACCGACTCCTGGACAATGCAGATTTTGACGAATTCCCTCCACGCTCTTCGGATACCGAGGGTGCGCAATGGGAGGGCGATGAGCGAACGGCGCCGACAAGCAATCAAGATCCCGTAAGCGCTTGGTTGGGAGACAAGTTGAAAATGTCACTGGATTACTTCCCTGCACTATCGCAATTGGCGACAAGAGCGCGCAAGATGGTGCTTCCGGAGAACGGATCGCGTACTGGGCTTAAAGGTATGTTTTCTGGTAATATCGTGAATCACGACTCACATGTCGCATATAGACCTGCAGCCAACCTTGCCCATCCTCCAAGCGAAGTTCATTCATAGCACACGCCTACTCACCTCGCAAGGCCTATTTGTCTTACTCGTCCCAATCTACATCTTTGCCGTTGCACTACTCTCGAGGGCCCAGTCATTCGCAGTTCCTCCAGAAAAGCAATTGAATTGCCTGAGTACCTTTTGGCCTGCCCCGTACGATAGATGCGGGCTCGATGGACAAGAATGCGGTCCTTTCAATGACACGACCTTCTCGTATCGGTGTCCAGCCGATTGCTCAACAGTGTACCTGCATAACACTCGCATTGTCGGCGACCAGGATGTTGCATTCCAACCTCTCGTAGTTGGCGGAGGCGACGCGGAGCGCACTTACCGTGGCGACAGCTGGATTTGTGCGTCAGCCATGCACGCGTGAGTGCGCTTGCGGCCTCTCTTTGTGTGCAAACCTTGAGGATTTGTGCTTATATGCCTCACAGCGGCCTAGTGAGTGATTCGTGGGGAGGCTGCGTGACTGTTGATCTAGTCGGCGCTTTCACCGGTTACCTACCTTCCTCACGGCACGGCATGGACGCCGTTGG